CGTGCTGGAACTGCCAGACGCGCTTCATCCTGTTCTAATGCGTTGTGCTTCCTAGAGCGAGAGGGCATTCCGTCCTGCAAACATGGGTAGCGAGACTGACAATTGTGACAATGCTGGGAAAGAACATGACTTCGAGTTGTAGCTGCGAAGCTGCGTTCTCCTTAATTTCTAATGGCTCCTCATACTCCGCAGCATTGTCTGTCCATCTTCTCTCAGAAGCAATGTTTGACTCCAAGGGAAAGACCAGCTGGACTCGCTGACACGTGGTAACTGTATGAAACCCTTTCATCGACAGTGTTCCCATTGCATTGTTTTTTTTCGTAAAGACTTCTAAAAACGTCCCACTGCTTCATCAGCCATTTTTTCCTATAAATCCCCGTTGGCAATTGTTTCTAGAGTTTTCTCTGCCCAGAATTAATTAATCCTTCATAAATTAATCTTGGACAATCGCCATTTTTCTAACCACCGTGCATGAGGACATTGGATGAGGAAGATCTTTCAATCTGGAGTCACATTATTACTTCCAAAAAAAGGATCGGTTCCGATCTCCCGGGCGCCGATAATTAAGTATTGAATTGATGTTCCTTAGTTTTACCGTTTTATGAGATAGGAAATTTCTTAAGAAAATGGTGACAAATTCATCCAAGGTTGGAGATGATATTTGTTGGTAATCTTACAGCTATTTTTTTAGCTTTATCCTTCAAGAGCAAATGGAATAAATCTAAGCTTAACTGCACATCTTCATTTAATTCTCTCATTTTAATCATAACTACCACTTCCTCAAATTCCGAAATTAAAAATATATGGCGTGTGTATTGTTTTCATTACCAGGAGTTTGGGCGGAAGCATGTTATTTATTGCGGTCTAAGCTCAAACTTATTCCATTTGTTTCGGGGAGCTAATCATGAGGGATTTGCATTCCTAAATGGGTAGCACATATCATTGAAGAACGGTGTGAATTAGGATGCTCATTTCTATTGATTGTTCAAAGCGAATTATTTCGATGTGTATTATCCTAATCCACTGTTGCGATTACACCAAAAATCATTTCTTTTTTATTTTATTTTTTCTCTAAAACCGAAGAATAGAAAATTCAGGTTTATTTTTTAGAAGATAGTAGAGAAAAAGAAAAATCTCTAACTAACAACAACTCAAAAACAATCAGCTTTTTAATCAACTTCTAGACTCTAGGGTTTAGCCGTACTTAATAGACCTAGCCTCAACCAAAATTCCTGAAGCGTGAAAGAGTCAAAGTACGTTCTACCCAGGTATGTGTAGCAGGTCAGGAGTAGTACTATGAGGTTGAGTCAAAGATCAATTAAGTACCTCTTTCCTTGGCGGAGCATCTTTACGCAACCGCCTAAACCGTTTGGGCCTTTTAGCACACCAACTATGTCTCGAGCAATACTTAACGCCGGTTCACTTTAAGGATTTCTTGTTCCTTATACCTTATTGAGCTCGAATCCTTAGGGGCCAACGTCTAATGAGTTTTAGAAGGCTTGGGTGGTGTAGTGAGAAATTAGTTATTTTTGGGCTAAGGAAATGGTGATGAAATCCCTCACCTTATCTTGATTATGGGGTTTTGCCCTTAAAAATATTTTTAAGTGTGTGTCAAATCAAGATGCTCAAATCACTTGGTGAATTCCTACACTATATGAAATGCAACCCTATGAATTAAAAGCAACTAAAAAGGATGGAAAAGAAAAATCTTTTTTTTAATTAGGGCTAACAATCAAACAAATGAGAAGGGGGATTTGTTTGAATTTATTATCTTGTTAGTAAATGTCAAAGTAGAGGATGAATTTTATTATGGTCAACAAAAAATAAAATCTCTTTTTTTTAAGTCCTAATTGTCTCTAATTGTGAAGAAGTAGCTAAAGGGTGGAATTAAAAACTAGAAAGAGGACTTACCTGAAAGCAAATCTTCAAATCCTAGCTCTCCAATCCGCGATCTTCAAGCTCCAAGCGTTTCCTTCACAAAAAACACACAAGTTAAAGAACCAAAATAATTAAAACCTACTTAAGCACCTTCCCCGGCAACGGCGCCAAAAACTTGATGCGGCATAAACATGTACCAAAAAGGTTGCAAGTGCACAACCGTGTCAAGTTATAGTATTTAAGATATCGATCCCACGATAAAGGTGTTTTGTAGGAGAAAATATAAAATCAGTTCTTATTTTGTGTGCGTGACAAATAGGAGTGATGAGTAAATGTGATTGTGGAGAGATAATAAGAGTGAAAGTGATAGTGTGTGAAACGGCGCAAAATTTAAGTGAGAGTGGATTTGAAAAAAAAATGAGTATGATCAATAAGGTGAGAAGGAAAAAATGAATAAAATCAAGAAACAAATGAAAAATCAAGAATGAAGAACAAAATTCCGGATTCAATTAAAGATATGGGTAATCTAGAATTGAATCCACTTTTTAGAAAAGGGTGATTCCCTAGAGGGTTCTAGCCTAAAGGCGAATCAAACAAAATAAAAATAAACAAAAAGAAAAACTAAACCCAAGAGGGTTCTAGCCTCAAGGTGAATAGTACAATAAATTAAAATCTAACTACAAAATAAATTGCAAATCTAAACTATAAAATAAAATTGCAAGAATTAAATACACGAAAATAAATCTACTCTATAAGCATAAAATAAATCTAAGGCAAGAGGGTTCTAGCCTCTTGGCTATTTAACAAGAAAATAAAATCTAACTACAAGCATATAAATAAATCTAAACTAATAAGCAATAAAAGAGAAAAAAAAGAAATGCAAACCTTCAAATAATTCTTCATCATCATCTTCATCTTCATCATCCAACAAAGAGAAGAAAAGAAAAATTTAAAGTGGTGAAAAAATTATTATTATTAATTGCAACTAAATTATAATTTTGGAAGGTCTTCTCAATTAAGAGTAGCCCTCCTCTCCAAAAGGAGTTTACAAAAATTTTCACACCTCTAACCTCTAACCTCTCACTCTCTACCCCTATTTATAGTAAACATCAGTGAATGAGAGCCATTGGATTGAAATCTTATCCAAAAACAACAAATTTCAGCCTTAGATTCGTAACAAACTGCCCAGCTTATCGATGCAGGCATCGATACAGGCATTGATGCTGGCATCGATGTCGGTATCGATGCAGGCATCGATGCCTGCCCTTCTCCTTTTGCTGTCCGCAGATTCTTCTTGTTGTTTGCTTTTGGGCTTTGGACATTGGGCTTTTCTTGGACTCTTGGGCTTGGGCTTTGATTTATCTCTTCATTAAATACTTGAAAGAATTCATTGGGCTTCATGGCTTCATTTCTTCATTAATTTATGGGCTTTTTGTTGAGAGATGAGGGTTTTGAGATTTATTCTTCATTAACCTGCAATTAAAGATAAAAACAATTATTAGTAGTATATTTATTCATATAAAATAGATAATGAGGGTATAAAATTGTTTGTTCTTCATAATCTAGAGAAGGTATTTTCCTTCGCCCTAATTATAACTCTTGTGTTCTTCAGTCGTTTTCTTCTTTACCCACTCTTGATAATTCCGCGATCAAGAGTGCTCGCACGGCGACTCGTATC